GCGTTGAAATCCTGTGGTGGGACCTTAAGTGAGCTGTGCATAAACAAATGCCCGTGAACCTCAATGAACTGAAGCAACGCCAAATTCCTCCACAATGATCTGACAGACAGATAAAGTCATACAGAGAGCAATTCATTTGACTTATTGCTGCTAAATGTGGCTCTACAAGCTACTGAAACATGGGGTGTACTTGGTTTTTTCCCATGACTATAAATACTTTTTAATGAGCAGTAAGAGGTAGGTTCTCACTGTGAGGCAACAGTGTAGACAATTAGAGAAAGCTGACTCAATAAATTACTTAATGGTGCATGGAGATTTTTCCAACAATTAATCATCAAATATATAAGAAGGAACTGTGTCGGAGGAAAAAACAAACAAACTTATGTTTCTTCTTTTAAAACCTGAATTGTTTAAATAACTCCTGCATTTCAGAGTGATTGAGCACAGTATGAATAATCGCCCACACAGTTAAATCCACCATCACACAACTTGACTGCTTCCAAACAAGGACAAGTCCACACTGGAGACCGAGACGCTGGTCTAAGCTCTGGTTGTATCAACAGAATGTGGGATCAGATAAAAAATGTAATGCAATGGGAATGCAGCAATCCTCAGGCTTTTAGAAGGGCTAGTCATCTTAGAGCTTTTAGTGCTTTATAAAAGCCATATTCATCCTAACCCATAATTAATTCTGCAGAAGCATTCATGCTGTTTGGAGAAACTACTGCTCTGAACAGCAGTCCCACAGGGACTGTTTAGCCAGGAAGTGATTTAGAAAGCAGTACTGTCCAGTTTCTTTATATGAACATTCCAGGGCAGGGTGGAGGTCACAGAGAAGAGGAACATCCTCCTCCGTTTTTTTGTTGTTGTTTTTTTAAAAAGAAAGAAAGAAAATATCCACAAAAATATATATTGCCTTCCTTTAGAGAAAAATATTCTCAAGGTTTTGTGCTTTTGGAAAAACCCACAGTTCTGTTTTCTGTGTGAGAAGGGCATGCATCAATGACTTGCACACATGAGTACCAGGTCAACAAAAATGTATTAAATATAAACCCAAATTTTCAAATAAAAGCTTGTTAAAAATCAGGCTTGGAGATTTTCATTTGGTGCAAGGCTAAAAACTCCAGATTTTGTGGCCTAAATTCTGCACCGTCATATAAACACTACATCTTTAACAGTGCAAAACTTGGATAAAATTGAAAAATTAAAGTCGTTAAAAAAACAGTAGTGCTCTTTAGAAAATTAGTTGCAATTATTAAAAATATTCAAACATAAGGTAACATCATTTTCAAACCTCCAGACCATGTCGTTGGCCACACAGAGCAACAGACCAAACAGATTAAACAGCTATTTAAACAGAGGTTTCTTAAACCAAACCCACTTCTGATTACGTATCATTTTCCATGTGATAGCTGGACGTGTTTTACTTCTAATCATATGTTATAAAAACTACGTTACCCTTTTCCACAGTGAAAGTAACTAGGTAGGAGGGGCTAAAGAGGAGCTTAAGTTGTTCTAAAGATGCAATACAATAAATATGACTGTGTTACTAATTATCTTTACTATTACGTCTATTTTAGAGAATTGCCTCTGGAGTATATTGTGTATTTAAAAAGGTCCAACCGCCTTGGATGACTTATAAATGACTAAACTGCAGTTTTTCACTCCACAAAAGAACAGAGGATAGCGGACTGTCAACTTTTCAGACCAATTTCTCTCTTTTTAGAAAAAATAAAACTTTTTAACAAATCGCTCACCCGTTTGTCATTTCTGTAATGCCGAGCATCACTGTGCCTTCTCTCCCACCAGATGTGCGTCACCCGATCACTGTTGCAGCTGTCCAGATGTTGTGCAGTCCGGGATGTAACGTTGGTTTTCGCACAGCGGAGTAGAATGGCGAGAAGGGGCCTCGCCTCAGTCCGGCCGATCTCACTCTAGTGAATGAGCCACTTCCAGGTGGGACCTTTCAGTGTAAAACAGCAGGCTTGCAAGATTCAAACAGGACCCTAAAAATCGGTTTAAAAAGAATAAATTCCTCCCTTTTTGCACAAACTCGAGCAACACATCATCTTACGTGGGTCTCCCACGATATCGCACGAGACTATTAACACAAATTTAGTTTCCATTTAAGCTAATGAGGAGTCAGGAAAACTGCCTTAAAATACAGTAGGAAACAATTTTCCTTTATACCTTTAACCTGTATGTGTTTGTGTGTGTTTGTACTGCATTCTGTTTGCCTCGCATTTACTATACAAAGTTTAATGCACATTAATATAAAATATACAGGAAAAAATATCAATGAATGAATGAATGAAAACATTTTTAAACATTTTTTATTTAGTATTGGTGCTAAAATGTTTAAGAAATTTATGGAATTTAAAGATTTTATTCATGTGCCTTTTTGCAAATATATATTGACATTGGTCCCCATCCCCGACCTAAGTCAATAAATCACAATAATAACTTAAAACTGAGAAAATGACTTGGATTAATTGGGTTATTAAGACGAGATCTAAGTTAATAATTTTGAGTTACCTTTTGGTTTTTAAAAAAATAATTTTTCAGAGTCAGTGTGTTTTTTTTTGTTTTTTTTTCTTAAGTGTATGATGCAAAGAGCTTGTTGGTCACTCCAAAAGATTTTATACTTGTTGCTCTTTGCTTAAAGAAAAAAAAACACAAAAACAACAAAACAAAGAAAAACGGATGATACTGTAATTCATTTTCCTTTCTTTCGCTACTTTGTGATTTCAGAACTGTTAGAAAGCAAAAAATTTCAATTGTCTGCCTTTCCCCCTAATTTTATTTTATCTTTTTTTTTTTTACATTAGTGAGGCAATAAAACAGAGTCCAAACACGTTTGGGAAGAACAGAAACGCAGCGTTATCAAATCAAGTGCTTTTATTTTGGAGACCAGAGGCTCGTGCATTGTTGCACGCGGTCCAAGTGACTGGTTTTTTTTTCAGGTTTTGTTGGCAGGATGCACCTAAAACCACCCAGTAAACTCAGTAGGTTCTCTGCGCTCATTATCTCACTATAATATAAATGAGACGGATTCCGAGAGCCGCTTTTACATCCGCTTCAGCTTTACGCTGGGCTGTATCTACACATCTGGTCAGCATTGATGGAAATCTGACTTTCAGTTTGCCACCACTGGGAGGACTGTAACTACAGTTCAACATGGCGGGTGGGAGCCCTGAAAAAACATCACAGAATCCATCACATAACAGTAGCAGGCAGGGAGACGGGGCTAACAGCATGTTTACATTACTTACAGTAAAAGATGCAGGAGTTTGTCATTTCCTCTCCCGATTGCGTCATGATAATGCACCCACCATTTTTTTCCTTAAAAGGGAAACCCCTAGACCCTGCTCCCTCCTTCCAGAGGGATGAAGGACTTTCAGAGCAGCACATAGGCTGGCTACTGCATCTGTTCAGATGCCCAGCAGTAACACCAAAAACAGGAGGATTATTAATGATGTAAATTAAGGTTCATCTTGTAGTTATCTGCTCTTTTTGATTTAATGTGCAAAACATGTCCATAAAAGTGCTTCCTCACCACATGCATGTCCTCAAAAAAAAAAAAGAAAGAAAGAAAAATGTAAAACATCTGGCTGCTGATTAGAAGCTGTAGATGCAATGCTGCACTTCAAAAATCAATTATAAATAAAGGACACGGACTGATCGCAAAGCATGGAATCATTTTAATCTTTGTTAAGTTCTCTTTTTTTTTTTACAGTTGTAAATACACCAGAAAAACATACAAACAATCACTGCCGTAGTCTTTCTTGAGTACGATTTTGCAGTTCGGGTAATCTCTCATAGCTTCTGCCCACGTTAAGTATCATAAATATAAAAGTCTAGATATAAATACAGTCCATTGTGCTGGGTGAATCACCAAAAGCTGCCAATAGGGGGAGAAAATAAACCGGTTAATAATTATTTTTATCACTGGTCAGCAGAAAACTGTATTCATATGAGTAAGTATGTGTTTCACTGGGAGCGGGGTAGATATGAGGTGTTTTTCAAACTCAAAGCACAGGTCAAAAGTCAGAATGTAAAATCAACAGCATCTATAGGTCTGATGAGGAGCCTTGCTCAAGGACACTTTTGCGAGGCAGATGTGCTTTCAGCAATGGAAACTGCAAGATGCAACAAATCTTTGTTAAGGTTCGGTGATTAAATTGCAACACAAATGACAAAACTATAAAACACTCCCATAAAAGAGAGACAAACTATTAAAATAATGGTCCAATATTAAAGTCGCAACTAATATTACAAATTATTACAGGGCACGATGAATCAGAACTCAAGACATGGAAACTGTTAGTGCACCTGAGTTGAGTATGTGATGATTTAACAATAAAACTGTAAAACCAGCCTGGGGAAAAATGTTAAAAGTGTTCTATTATTGTCTGTTTTATAGACATATGTATGGAAGTTTGGATTAAACACAAAAGAGTGTATGTGCAAATAAGCCCAGGCTTTATACTGCTATAAACACTCATTTTCTTACACTCTTGGCTCTGTGTGATGTCAGTGAGGGGTGAAATCACTGATATGATCACAGGAGGTCCAACCTTTTGCTAGTGAGGGGCAGCCAATCAGAAAAAGAGGCTGTCTTAAAGGGAGTGAGAATCAAAAGTGGATGAAGGGCTGCATCAAAGCTCAGAATAAGACAAGCATTTTTTTAAACCATGAAGTCTGAGAAACTACTCGAAAATAAAAATATACAGGTGGGAAGGAGCATAACAGGTCATCACAGTTCCTCACCAACAATCAGTAATGTTGAAGAGAACCTCAGACTTATAAACACGCATCCCAGTGCAACTGAAATGAGATTATGGCAGTTTAGCCCATGAACTACTGTAAATTACACACACGTTTCCCACAGCATACTGCGTTACAGATCGCCTAATGCTTTCTTTACCTTCCGGGAAACAACCAAGTTAAACGTAAAATCAGAGAATCAAATTTTTTGTGAATAAGGTTAATTTCTATACAGCAGAGACCAGTAGAATGGCTGACATGAAGGCAGTTCAATCACATTCAACAGCCTATAAGTTTTAGGTATACCTCTGAGAAAAGCTAAAATGTAAACCGTGTAAAATTTACACGGTTTACATTAATGTAAATTTACACGGTTTTATGATGGGCTTGATTTACTAAATCAAGCCCATCATAAAATGCAGGTAAAGTTGTCTTGAGAAGTAATTAAAGATCTATAAATCATATCAAGCAATACACCAGCACACATTTCTTCCCCTTGATTAGGTTTCCTCTCACAATTAGTTTGCACCCTTTTGGATTTAAAAACACTGCGATCATCACATAACATACACTTAATTTATTATACCCATTCATTTTAGTAATGATGCTTTGTAATGCCTCACTGTGTAACCATTACGTCCAGTAAATGTTTGGAATACATGTTTATAGCACGCTGAAGGAAGACAGATATTCATCACAGTTATCAGTAAGAGACCCATGTAGCTATTGCACTGCAAACTCAAATTCTTATACATGTTGAATATTTTGGTTTTCTTCATCTTAATCGTACACTCCTCTTTATCTGATACATTCCTTGGTCCCATCTACTGCATCCCACCAAAGTTTTAAGTTCCCCCAGTTAACCTCCCAGTTGTCACTGTTTTAAAAGTGCAGCTTCAATGATGAGGACAGGTTTTTACATTAAAAATAAAGGCTCAGTAATAACGCCGACTTTGTGCTCCCAGTGTTTTCTTGGCTTTGATTTGTGGTCGGTTTTATCTGATCCCAGACCAGCTGTGGAGGTAGGAGGTCCAGCCTGAGCTCCGAGACCCAGACGCCTCCTCCTCACCTGCAGAGAGGAGACACAAGAACAGGTGGTTAGACATTAATGAGGTATTCTGGATGCTATAACCTGCAGCACTTCAGAAAAGAGGAGATTAATTTAAAAAAAAGGGTTTTGTCTGAAGAAACAAAAAAAAAAAAAAATCAAAGACAGGTTGTCGTTATGTGTTTTCTATTATGACTCAGCATGAAAATCACTGTGACGCTGCTCTGTAGAAAACACAGCAGAGACAAATTCTTGCAGTGGGGCCGTGCGCTCCTGTAAGTGAATTGGAAATGGTTTCTTTTTCAGGGTGGAATACAGCATACACCTTTAATGACTTGGCAGTTTCACTTTACCATCATAAAATGAGAATAAATTATTTTCAGAAATCACCAAGGCTCAAGACTGCCACGAGCTGGAAACTTGTGGAGAAATGTTTGTTGATATGTTTGGAAGTGTAAATGTGAGACTTTCAAACCTAAGACTACTGTGACAGCTGTCAAGCATGGTGGTGGTAGCATATATTAATATTAGTTGGAGTGTATGCATATATTTGAGTTTCCAAGTATAATTCTGGCCCTATGTGGATTAGAGAAAATCCAAGATAAGCTCAAACTTGTGCACCCAATTCTTGCTTTTAAATTAATTAAGAGAAATATACGGTACAATCATCCCTCACATTAACAAAAGAAAAATAAGAGCTCACATAAATCATTAAATGTCCAAAGTTCCCATAGAATTCTTTTCCATGAGGCGTGGATGCAAATTTCTGACCAAAAGATTTCTACACTTTAAATCATACATAATAACCTTTTGAACAGGTCATGCGGTGAATAAGATTTTTCTTTTTATAAATGCATGCAAACAAGGTTTACCCATTGCATACCTTGTGCAATGGCAGACAATTTGCTTTTCTCCTCTGGGCTGAGCTGCAGCATGGTGTGGATGACGGGCAACAGAGCCTGCCTCTCGCTGCCGGATCGCAGGAAGATGAACTGCAGGAGGACGTTCTTCAGGTACTCCAGGTTGGCCACACTCTTCTCCCTCTCCTGGTTTCGCTCAAGACGGCGAACTTCACTCTTCAACAGCTAGGAGGTAGAACATACAAGCGCTTTAAAATTTACAATATCCAAGCGTCCCTTCGGCTAATGCTAAACGGCAGGAAAATAAGCTAATGCACAATAGATTGTCGAGTCCATTTCAGGTTTAAAAAATAGGAATATAGGAGGTCAGCTCAGAGGTTTTAGTGATTACTAGTATATCGAAGAGATAACATTAAATTTGGTCCACGCTACTTTCCGTAAGCGAGCAACTTACGTCACATACAACAAGCATGGCGACGTCCTCTTGTCTACTGAATATGAAGCGTTGAACGCGAGTACAACAGCGACTTTTAAACCCGGACTGCAGCAGTTCTTGTGCGAAATAGCTTAAAAAACTACAGCGACAGACAAAGATGGGCTTCGAGCAGCTGCTGTGGTGTTACTCCAGGCGGTTTCGGTTCCGTAGCGTTCAGCTAAACCAGGTTGGAAACACGTCGTTGTCGGCGCACACTACGCCTCTCGGCAGCACGTCCTCCCGGTTTGGTGCTTCTCCCGGACTGTTGGGCGGCATATTTGCCCACACAGGCCCCCAGCTGGCCGTACGCCGGAGGATGTGCACCTCCACCCAGCCGCCCAGAGATGTCACCTTGTTCGAGCACGACAGGACCCGCTTCTTCCGGCTTCTCTCGATCTTCTGCGGCGGACAGTTCGTCTTCTGGACGTACTTGGCTCAATTCGCCTACACGGGGCTCAGAGACACGGGCGGCACTAAAGAGAAGGGGAGAACCAAGACGCCTAGCACTGCCACCACGGGTCTGGCGGGAATATGGAGCTTTGAGATGAACCTGGGTTCAAACACCTGGAGGTATGGTTTCACGCTGGGATGCCTGACAATAGGAGCAGGCATAGTGGTACTCGGGGCTCTGTTCTGTCGGCGCTCTGTCAGCAAAGTGGTTTTACACCAGGGTGGGAGGATGGTGACAGTCTGCACACAGTCACCTCTGGGACCAAGCCAAGGCAGGAGAATAACAGTCCCTCTGTCTCATGTAGCCTGCCACGCCCACAGGCAGGAGACCACTTCCTTTATTCCTCTAAGGGTCAAAGGGCACAAGTTCTATTTTCTTCTGGACAAAGAGGGGACTGTGAACAACGCCAAGCTGTTTGATATTACCGTTGGTGCATACAGGCCACTTTAAACACAGCTGCCACACCTGAAACAGCAGTCTACAGGTGTGTGCTCACGTGGCTGCCACACTAATATATCAGTGTGTTTTTCATCTGATCTGTACAATCCGAATTAATTAAATGATTGACAACAAATACTTGGCTCATTTAGTTCATTACATTGAAAACCTCACGCTTTTGACTCAGTATTATTATATAAATTTCCAAGAATTTAATATTTGAAGTAATGAACTGGAATTTTTATGTATATTGCACATTTCTTTACGTGTAAATGCAGTGTGCTTTACCTAAAAAGAAATTTTATAGGCCGATTAAAATCAGCCCCTGGAGAAAAGCCACAAAAGCCCTGGAAAAAACAGACCTCTGCAGGCCTGAATCCAGGACCTTCATGCTTTGAGGTGATATATAGCCAGTACACGACCGCGCTACCCGAAAAAAAGACGGGCAACAGACAACACAAATATAAGCATGAGTAAAAATACAGATATTTATCAGTAGAGAAGAACAAACTGTTAGAAACAGTTACCTTTAACGACTTTCTTAACAATGCACAGATCAGTAGCACATACAAGCATGACTAATTCTAACAGTTTTTCCACCAATAACCTCCTAAATAAAAGCTTATAGTAAGTAAGAGAGTTGAGCCTGAATTACAGCAATTCTGTATGTGCCTTATAAAGTGCTAGAAACCAGAGAACAGACCTTTTCCTTTAATAACACTTAATAAATATGGCATATTCTAATGTAATAAAACCTATAATGTAAATCTACTAATACAATACAAAATAACTTTAAAGATGATCTTTATAACTCAGAATGTATGTAAAATAAATACTTAAAGTTAATCTACTTTTGACTGCTTTCTTATCCTCAGCGGGTCGATACAGTGGATATCTGCACGTTTGATTTGGCAGATTCTTTTTTAATTAAATGCTGAATGCCCTGCCCAACCTGAAAGGGGAGGTAAATAAGAAAGTAATCAGATGGTTTAAAATTATGCCATTCCTTCAGCTAACAGTAGTAGTAGTACAGCAAATGTAGGCAATGCGTTTGCTCTCGGTCTTGAAGAAACATCTTTCAGTGATTTTAATTGTATGTTTTTAAATCTTGCAAGTTGTTCGTTAATAAAGGGGATCATTCTCTTTGAGTTTTGTAACCAATGCTTAGGAGTAGGTCCTATTTATTATAGGGGATGTGTCATATAGTAGATTTGCTAAGTGCGCAGGGGAGGCAACTTTAAAATAGACAACTTGTCTGGGTTATTAGGTCTCTAATTTAGTTTTGAGCAACAAAAAAAAAATGTTGTTTCTGTGTTTGTATAATTGAGGAAGTATACATACAGTGATCTGCTCCATGAGAATAGCGTTGGTAGCCTCAGTTTCATGCAGCAGGCTGTTCATGTGCTCCATGCTGCGGGTGGTTGTGTTCAGCTTTTCACTTAACTCTTCTTTGGTTGGCTCCACTGTCCACACAAATGGCTCTAGAGATATAACAAATGCCACATACAGGAGGTGATATAATACATTAAACTCTGTCACTACACAAAGTCTGCATCTATTCTTTTCCCCCAAACATAGTCATTCATTGTTCATTGTAACGCTCATCATTATATCTTGTTGAATAGGTCACATATGGAAACTGAATGCGCTTTTTTTTTTTTTTTTTTTTTGGACCTCTGCTTTCAAACACACCTTGTTTGGGTTCTGGAGATGTGAGAAGCTGCTCCAGAGAGGGTAGGGATGTAGGAGCAGGGGAGAAGCTCTCAGTCTCAGTGGTCTCCATGCCCTCACCTTCCTCCCTGGCCATAGACTGCAGGTCGCTGAGGGCCACTGGTCCCACACCCGCCTGGTTCTGGTCAGTGTTTCTGCGCTGTGGATCTGATGCCAGCGGTTTACGGCTGGACTGGACAGCAACTGAATCTGAGTGGGTGTAAAAGGTTGGAAGAAGAAGATTTGTGTGGGTCTTCTGGGCACATCAATACATTCATATTGAACAAGAGAGAAGGAGGAGGTTGGATTCAAGATGTGTCAAACAAGAATTAGAAAAGAAAAAAAGACTTTCTGCTCATGGCCTTAAAATGTTTAAGTAAAATCCCTGGTGGAAAATAGTAAATAAATAAAGGAATTTAAAAGGGTTTCAACTGAAAGCAGCCTTCAGATCTTTTTTTAAGCATCTCTGGATTCTTATGTACAAACAAGTCCGATCACAGCAGCTGTGAGTTAGTGTCCTACTTCACTGTAACATGAGGGGGCACCAGACTACTCCAGGTCTTAACCAGTTCAGCTGGCATAAATGGTGACGTGGGAAGAGAAGGGTAGAGGGAAAAATGAGAAAACTTCAGAAGAATAGATTGTGATTAATGAACCTGAACTGATCCAAGAGGCCAGACTCGCTACCAATCCCCCTCACCTCGCCACCTCCCGTCAGGCTCTTTACTTCCCTTGTCATGTAGCCGACTGAGAGGAGCAAGAAGTCTACCTGCATACTGAACACGTTTCATAATAGTTCAAGTCCAGTAAACTCAAGAGCCCAACATATTTACCCAGTTCTAATCAACCAAATCATGACAACTGCCACTCAAAAGAGTGAAGCATACAGGAGTCCTGATTTAATAGTACATCAGGCTCTAATAGAAAGGTTTAAAGAAATCAATAAGGAAATAAAAGCATCTAATTTACAGGAAAGTAAACACCCTGGGGATCATATGTATATCTGAAAAATACTGAGCAGTGTTTCTGCAAAGCCATCACAACAGCCTGCAACAGAGGGAACAGCTGGAAAGGCTTAAACACTGACCGATTTCTAATTTATAAAAGACTTTTTTATGTGTGTGTCTATGTGCTGCTTGAAGGTTTGGATAAAAGATTAGACAAAATATGACAAAAGGCATATATAAATGTTACATCTGATTTATTAAAGAAAAAAAATACGAGGCCAGTAGTTTTATCTCCCGTCTGTCCGATAGGGCAGTAACGCATTTAATCTGGTGTGAAATTGAAGCATAGTGGTAAAAAGTGGCTCAAATATGACTTCAAATTAAGGTTAATATTGGCTCCAGTATCGAGTTAATCCTTGCATCCATGTGTGAGCCACTAATGATGAGTCTCTCCAGATGCCACAGTGAGCTGTTTGCCACACTGAGAGGCGGGGATAGAGCTGAGGAACCTTGCCAACACCTGGCGTCCTCAAGTGACAGAGAAGACACACACACACACACACACACACACACACACACACACACACACACACACACACACACACACACACACACACACACACACACACACACACACACACACACACACACGCCTTTCCTAGTCACTACTGTGTGTGTTTCTGCTGTTTGACTCCAGCGGGCAGCTGTGTGGGAGGTGATGAATGAGCTTTCAATGCTGCTCTTCTGATAAACACACTGATGCCCTCTTCATGGTTTTCTTTCTGACTCACATCACTCCACTCATGTAGGAGAAGTGCAAGCACCATGGAAAACTAAAGCACTTGATGATTTCATTGATCTCTATATACCATACCTTTCATGTACTCCTTGAGTCTATTGCTGTCTGCTCTTTAGTAAAAGATAAAAATGTTACCTCACCTATTTGCTCTGTTACCTTTTGTAGGGAATCAGGTATTGGCTCAAGTTTACAACCCCACCCCCATGCTTACTGTTCTGGCTCTGCAGGGTAAAGAGCTGCTCCTCGACACGAGTCAGCTGGCCCTGCAGGGTCTCTACAGTGGCCCGGTGGTCATCCTGCAGCTTCCTTAGCTGCTCCCTGTAGGTCTGCCGCTGGGCCTCAACCTGGGAAGACAGGTCAGCCTGGGCCTGGGACAGGTCTGACCGCAGGGTCACGTTCTCTGACTGCAATGACAAAAGCCTGTAGGTGGACAGAGCAGGAAGAGAGTTTAGAAAGTGCTCCTTTAGGAGCGAATCAATATGAAATGCTACAGGTAAGTAAAAAAAATAAATAAATAAAAATGGCGCAATCAGGTGTTCTCAGCATGTGCGATTATGTCTCCTGATTGCAAAATCAAATGCAAGGATGAACAGCTGAAAAGGCTAAAACGTGCTGCGTATCAACAACGTGACAGTACAATGAATTCCTGCCAAGACAAGATTAAAGAACAACATAAAAAATAAAAGTGTGTTCACCTCTCACGGAGCTCAGCTTCCTTGCTTACAGTTTCCTGAAGGATTTTATTGTGTCTCTCCAGAAGAGTGTCATGCTCAGTTTGGAGCTGCTGCAGCTCTGCTGCGCTGCTCTGGAGACTCTGCTGGCTCTCCACCAGTCGCGTCCTCAGCTGTTCCACCTGAGAGACCAACTGCTCCCTGAAAAACACACCACACGTTACTCTTACAGTGATATTTTCTTTTAGAAGGATGAAAATGAATGTAAATTATTTCTCATGTGGGATTTCTTGTAGGTTATACCGTGTCTTCAATAATTCAGCTTTGGTCATTGTAAATACACGGTGTTTGTGTTCAAAATCAATTATGTGCTGTGCATTTTGACATTTTGCATGTTATTTAAGTTTTCTTGATCACATCTGAACAACACTCTTTCCTAACCCTAACTCTGGGTGTACTTTGAGTTTTTCATGTGTTTAAAAGTCTCACATGGAGAGAGAAGCTTTAGAACAGCATCCTTAATCAATGCAGTAAGATTTGAATTCCTCTAATGTAAAGCCAACTGAATGTGTTACCATTAATTTCACATGCAATGATCTGCATCACACAGTCCGCCACTGGTTACATACATTTAACAGCTGTCTGTTATTACAGTCTTTGTAGACTTCTATCATTCTTGCATGCCTTTACCTCTCTAGTTTGCCAGAGTCTACTTCATTCTGGGTCGTCTTGCTCTTCTGCTGCTTGAGAACATTGTGGACTCGCACCTTGTAACTCTCAAACTCCTTGGTTGTTGCCTCAAGCTCAACCTGGAATCAATACAAAAGGTTAACAAGACGTATACGATTGACTTTCTAATATATTGTTGGTGAACAAATTTATTTTAGTGAGTCTAGTTAGAAAATCTAATAAAGAAAACTTTTGTTGTGTCTCACACATTTACAAAAATTGAGATTTCAATACCACAGCTTACATAAAACCAGTTTTTCACTGGATGAACAATGATGAAGACTGTCTTTTACAGAAAGAAAGCAATAACTTAACTTAAATTGCTCTAGGCAAACAACCCATTCACAAACCTCTCTTACTGTCTAAAAATGTAAAGGGGAAAAAGTAAAGACTGAGCCAGAGGTGGCAGCAGCTGACTAAAGCATTTATTTTACTGTCAGTCTTGGATGTCACCAAGCATTGGAGATTACAGGTAAATCAAGGTCAGATAGATAGTTGGTTGGTCGGGTATTTACCAGAAAGGACTAGTTTGCAGATTTTTGTTTCCTGTTGCAGGAATCTATGGTTATAAAGACTTACAGTTTCTAGATCTAATTACAGAAGTTTCTGTAAAGCTGTTTAACTGATCTGAGCCAAAGAATCTTCCTCCATTGACTTCAGATTAGTAGTATCACCTCAGTTAAATTCAATTAATTCAAATCAAATACATTTATTTGATTTATATAGCGCCAAATCACAACAACAGTTTCTACACGATACATGTAAGATATAAAATATAAGGTAAGGTAAGACCTTAAAATATTCTTAAAATAATCAATAAAATTAAAAACGTCATGCATAAATACATTACCCAGTTCTCGTTTGTGTTATACATATAGTGGAATTTGTTTTTTTCAGTGTTGGTGACCCAAAAATGAATAATTAAAAGTTTTTACCTTGAGCACTTTTCAAAAATTCTACATACTACAAAGATTTGTGGATTAATCAAAAAAAAATTCAGATATTAATAATAGAAGTAGTCATTAGTTGCAGACTCATATAACACTACTGAGCCTGAGCTGTAGAAGCCTTCGATTAATTTAATCAAAGCTGGACGGGTCTGACGTAGCTACAGCACCTGAAAATTTACAGTTAAGGTGTCCTTGAACGACTTCGGTGTCGTTATGGTTGAGTTATTATAGCGTAAACTGTCAATTCAACTGTTATAAGTGAAAAGTCAACACATGCACCTTGGCAGTGTCTCTTTCCTGCTGCAGACTCTGTATGCGTTGCTGCAGAGAGCTGCTGGTTCTCTGTTGTTGCTCCAACGCAGACTTCAGCTGCTCCTGCAGGCGATGGCGCTCGGCTGTCAGGTCACACACCTCAATCTAAATTCACAAACACAGGCTTTATTAAGTGCCACAGGTATGAAACAAATGGATTTCTACAGTTTATTGAAAGGGATAGTGCTAGGTGTGTTACCTTAGAGCTTTCTAGCTGCTGCTGGTTAGCCTCCAGCTCTCCTTTCAGAGAGGCCTGCAGCACCATGAGTGAGCTTTCCTGCAAACATGCACACGGAATATTTAAATACATACAACCAAATAGGAAAGCACACAAATGACTAAGAATTCCCAATAACTTCAAGGCCCCCCTCCAGTCATGTCCACACATGGCTGCATAGCACTATTTACATTCATCAAGAAGCAACATTACACACATTCATAAGAAATCCTTGGAGACACACCTCAAATACACACAGACACACACAGACCTGTTTCTTGGCATCAGCCAGGTCCTTCTTGGTCTTCACCAGCAGCTGTTTTATCTTAGCGTTTTTCTCCTCCCCCTGGTCCAGCTGGGACTTCAAAGACTCTGATGACACAATTGCACATTTGAATGGGCATGTGCACACACACAAACAGCATAATTTCTGAACTGCAGTCTTCTTATTTTTCTAGTATTTTGCTGTCATTATGGAGCTTGACAGCATGAAGCAACTAAAGGAGGAATGAAAAAAACAAGCTCTAACATTTCCTAAATAATGATCCTACTGATCCCATGTACTGGCACACAGATACACAGGGCTATGCAAAAGTAATAGATGTTTCAGGTCAGTGAAAGCAGGTGTGTGCTGCTAATATAGAACATAAATAAAACTGAAGTTTTGCTTTCACCGAGCAAAATTTCAATTAAAGATTATTATACGGTGCAACATTAAATACATTTGGATTGTATTATTCTGTGTGCCAGTCACTGAACTTGTTATCATACCAATTTCCTGTTTGAGCACTTCTTCCTTCAGGTTGAGGCTGTTTATCTGACCCTTTAGCTCCTCAACACACTCATCTTTTTCTGATAGTTTGGTGTTGAGTTCTTTAACCAGACGTTCATAGTCGGCCATCTCCATGTCCAACAGAGAGCTCTGCTGTGCTTCCTGCAGGGAGAATCAACGTATTACAGCTTTAAACGGAGCACAGCTAAGACTCATCTTCAAGTCCATTTATCTGAAACTCTGGATTTCCTCCTCTCTACATTTAATTGAATTATGCTGACTATATTGTGCAGTTAGTATTTTGGAAACTTGGACAGCTGAAGAAAGTGGATGAAATAATCTACACACACATTGTTTTCTTAAAGAAAAGTAAGGATCTAACTTTTTAAAGTCCTAAAATCTAGTTAAATTAAATAATTACAGTCACAACCACACAATACAATCCCTCATCTTCCTTAAATTACCATTGAACTAACATCTACATATTTCTGCTGCACTTAAAACATGCTTGTTTACTGATCTAAAACTGCCAAAATGAGATAAAAAAAACAAAAACCTTTATAAGCATTTAATTGTCTTTCTACTATCAGTATCAACCTGAAAAATCCAATCTTTGTGTTCACATGACGTAGGCACCTCCTGGCAGCTTTCATGTACACGTCTATACTATGTAGGTCTCCACTAATGGAAAAGTAACAGCGGTCCCTGTACTGTGGGCTAGAATTACTCTCCTTCTCTTCATCAGGTGCTGCTGTAGCTGCAGGCCGGCCATCACCAGCTCAGTCGCTTGACTGGATCGGCCCTCTGAGACGCGCTAGTGTCTGAGAAGCACTTGTGTGTTATTTGTGTGTGTGTACCTTGCGTAGCTGCTCCAGCTCCTGGGCAGTCTGCTGAGACTGCTGCTGCTGCTTGCGGAGCTGGGCTGTCAGCTCTTCTGCCTCCTTCATGGCAGATGACAAATCCTAGAGAGGCAAGCAAGTGCACATGGCGGGGAGGGGGGGGGGGTATATTTAAATGTAATACAGATTACATATTATAAAAATAAATTCACCGTGCATGGCTGTTTTTATGATTATTTAAAAACATAAAACATAGAGTAGTTGCTTGCACAAAAGAGGGAGATGACATCCATCTCTCTTCATTTCTACCTTTATCTTTTGCTCTTTTATTGATCTCTCGGCCAGCAGGTCTCTTTCCAAATTTGCTGACTGCCTTTGCATCTCCTGATTCTTGGTCTCTAACTGTTTCAATGTGCTCCTCATGGTTTCCATACCAGCCAGAAGGTCCTCCTTCTCACTGCTCAGTGTCTCACTCTGAAAACAAAAAAAAGACTTGTTTATTGCCGCTGTCAGGTGAGTGTGCAGTGATACTCTTGAGGAAATCTGGTGTATTCTCATTTGATTTATTGCTCATAATCTGTCAGCTTTAGTGACTCTACAGTGTGAACTTCATTCTGGTTTCAGTTTACTGTGTCAGTTAAGAACCGCAGGAAACAAAAAGGATGATTTACAAAGAGGAAAGCTGTCTTACATATTTTGTAGTCAACATTCTCATTTATAAATACACCAGTTGGCACGTGACACCTAAAAAAATAAAAATAAAAAAATCATTCATGCAAATCTGACAGTAGCAGGCTCTATGGGCTTCCTGTGCAGCAGCTCTCTCCCATCATCTGTCAGCCAAACAGTGAAACTATGATTGGTAAACAGAGATGCCCAGACGTACTCTGAGATCACCGACTAGCTCCAGTCTTCGCGCTTCCCCTGAGATCCATGAGCGCACACAAGACTAAGCCTGTGCTTCAGAAAATGGTGTTTCAGTACTGCACGCAGCAGATGGAAGCTACAGCCCGCTCCATTTACCTGCCTCTTTTTCTCTCATTGGAGAGAAACAGTTATGAGCTTGGGGAAAAGAGTACATATAAAAACAATTTCTCCCTAGCTCACCCAGTCACATCTGATGGGCTATTTGTGGGCGCCGGGCTGTCAGATATAGCTGGGTAAAGTGTTGTCGGCTAAAACGACTCCCTCTAAATCATACAGAAACTGAATTATGGGGTAAGTATTGAAGAAATGTATTACTGGACAAAATCCCCTGCTTTGATTTAGTGGAGGCCGAGAGTTTGTGTGTGTGTGTGTGTTGTCGTGCATGAGACTGAATGTGTGTCTGTGTTACCTGTGTGACAGCACTGCTGAGTCGTTTGGTCAGCTCAGCAATCTGTCTCTCTGCCGCCTCCACCTTCTCCCTCTCCTTATCCAGTTGCTCTGTCTGCTTGTCGTAATCTATCTGCAGGTTCTAAACACAAAACACACACACGCACGCACACAAACAAGTCTTCAATATTCATTACTGGAAACCTGATGAACAGCTCAGTGAAGGTAAACACTATGCATCTCAGTTATCAGCTGCATTTACATTTGAACGTGGGACAAAACTCTCATTAGACACAACACAGTGGTTTTATTCTTTAATGGAGACACAGTCATAAAGCAAAGTGCAATCTGGGGGCTGTTTATGAAGACCACTGGGAGCAATGTCTCACACAAAGTCTTTTTTTAAAGTGAGCGTGCCTCTACTTGCCAATTAGAAAGATTTTTGTATTAGTAATGCATGAAACTAATTAAATGCACAATGGAATCTGTCAAGTTTATTTTGCTTTAATTCATGCTATGCTTTTATTTTGATGAAAAGCTAATGACATAAAAAGGTCCATGCGAAGCAGTAACATCTGATACACCCGGATACAAACCTAATAGTTCTGCCAATTTCAAACAGCCATTGAGAAAAAGAGCCACAGTGTAAACATTCTTCACTGTGGCGTCTCTGTTCTGACACGTCTGACATCATAATCCCGAGAGGAAAACAAACGTTTTTCCACTTGGAAATTTCAGTTTCATGAAAGTCCCACTACAGGATCCTAGTGTCTTCAAGTAATATAGACAGTATCTAACATGCAAACAACAGATGCCTTACTTACACCCTTTATCTTAACTGTTTGGAAGTCAGGCCTATTAGAAACAGTGCAGGATTCTTCTTGCAGGTACTGTAGCAAGAACATGTTTGTGAAGCCTTCCCAATTACAAGTATTTCACCAGTGCTGGCTTATAAAATGTGCCTAAAAATTACTCTTATAGACAAACAGCCTGCAACGCAAATCATTACAGTGTAAAACTGTATATGTGTTATTACTTTATTTAAATGCTGTTTTTCAATCATTTTGATCAGTATCAAATTAAAAATTAAAGACTAGGGGGAACCAGGGATTGAACCACCAACCTTCCAATCAATAGATGACCCTATTTTATAAGCAGGAAAGTCAGAAATCCCAGTAACTCCAAAGTGCACCTATATTTCATTAGAAACTTCTCCAGAAAATAAGCCAAAGATTTTCTTTCTCTAGTGAATACATTATGCTTGTTAACTGATTGAATCAATGGTGCTGTATTAATGGAGTCAACCTTGAAAGATTATCCCTCAGCTTCACTGTCAGGTCAATTACTCAGAAACAAGCAGAATCACTACGCATGTTAAAATATATATTCTCACTACGTAACACGCTAAAATCTAGAGCTTGTTGGTGAGCTGATAAATTAAAACTTTGAATACCAAAATATGTTGAGGGTACTGCATCCAATGAGAAAGAAAAAAAAGTGGCTTCCTGGAGTTATAACGCTCTACTTATATAAGAAAATACAAATTTCTGCTTTGCATTTACTTGTGAAAGTATGGGCTGTTTTAAAAAGTTTGCTGAATTCGAGTGTGATGCTGTAACAGGATGCTGTCTTAGATATTCTATGATCCACTTTGAAATACTGCCACTGAGAGCGTTACTGTTTAGGAAGTGTCAGCCACATAAAGTTACAGAGCAGATTTATCGACTCCAGATACTGAGTTACTTCAGTAGCTGCAGAGCTCCAAACCTCCTCTGGGATTAAAATCAGCACAAAAACTGTGGGCCAGGAGCTTCATGCCATGGTTTTCATGGCATTAAACTCCCGTAGGCATTAATATGTAGTTGTCCCAGTCTTTTACGTTTGTATAGTAAGAAGACAAAACTGTGATAATTCACATACTTTGTGCACTACTTCATGCAAACTATTTTCCTTTGTATGCTACAAGTCTTTTCCAACCCAAGATTCCTACCTTGTAGCCTTCAGCACCATGGATGATATCTTTCATAGAGCTGTTCACTTTCTCCCTCTCTGCTTTCAGTGATTCTATTTCCTCCTTCAGGGTTATAACCTGAAAAACAGACAAACAAAAAACCCCACCGAGCATTCATTTACTGGCAAAAAATATACTGATTATTCATGTTTACATGAATCTGTAAAAGAAGAGAATGTTGTGGAGTTCTCCTAAGGATCAGTATGGAGTGCAAGTTTTCTACCACAATGTTTGCTATTTAGAGAAATCTAAAGCTTTTCATTATAGCCTTATTGTCTGTGTTGGTAAATGATAACATTCTTCATTCTTCACAGTACCTCTTTCTTACTGGCATCCAGCTCCTTCTTTGCTTTGACAGCGACTGCCTTGATTTTATTCATTTTCTCGTCCTTTTCTTTTTTTTCTTTCTCCAAAAGAGCTGCAGGAAGTTAAAACAAAGAAGAATATGATTCATCAAAAGTCCGGGAAAGTATCTTTGGTTCTTTTCTGCATGATAACTTGTAGATTAGATTGCTTTTATAAATAGCATGAAGAGAAATCATCTTCACACCTATTTTCTCTGCAGTCTCATTCGATTTATTCTCCTCAGAGGACGCAGACTGTTCTGGAGACTCCTGAGAGAGTGACTGAGGAAAAAGAGAGAATGTTAGAAAGAGCACAAAAACAAATTGTCATAGTAACAGTTCTTTTTCCCCTCACAGATGCATTAGTGCTAGTGTGGAGAAGCACTTACTCTCCCCATTTGCAGAAAATAAACACACATCACGTGCTCCACTCACCTGGATAGAAGCCATTTCGGTCCTCAGCTGCGATATGAGTGAATCCTTTTCTGTCAGCTGCTCTTTGAGCTCTCTGCTCTTTTTCTCCATGATCTCCACCTTTCTCACTATTTCCTCCCTCTCTTCCTCCTCCTTGGTCATGAGAGAAATTTGAGCTTGCAGTTTCTCATTCTCCTCGATGATCTTCTCATTGACTGATTTCATATCCTGCAGGTCTTTCTGGAGACCCTCAGTATCTTTCACCACCTCCTCTATGTTGGTTCTCAACATGTTTCTTTCTTGTTCCAGGTCTTTGATGTGGGCCTTGAGCTCTGTTTGCACCTCCTCAAATGTTCTCTCCCCTTGAGCTTCTTCAAGGCTGCTTCTCAACAGGGCCCTCTCCTTCTCCAGCTCATCAACCCGTGCTTGGAGGTCTTTGACTTCTCTCATGGACTCTTGGAGTTCTTCACCCAGATTTTCCTCCATTACTCCAAGAAAACCAGAGATTCGTTCTGCCTCTGTTTTCATTGAATTCAGCCTTGCTTCTTGTTCTTGCTTTTCAGATGTCTCCTGGTTCAGCTGAGCTTCCAGGGCTGCTAGCTTAGAGTCTAAGAGCTCCCTCTCTTCCTGAGCTTTGGAAAGCCTTGAGAGAGCCTCTTCCATTTTCTGCTGGAGATCAGACTTTTCAGTGTAAAGCTCTTTTATAGTCAGCTCTAAAGTGGAAACTGTCTGTTCAGATCTCACAAACTCCTCTTTTAGGCTTCCCTCTAACTTTTCTCTCTCCTCGTTTAAACGTTTCACTTTATCCTCAGTTTCTGTTTTCAGGCTTTTCAGCTCCGTCTCTTTTTCCTCTCTTAGCAAAAGCACCTCCTTTTCTTTCTCCTCCTGTAGCCTCTCAATTTCTTTTGTTCTCTCATTATTGAGCTTTTGCATTTCCTCTTCTTTGATCTTCAGCAGGTGTTGCATTTTGTCTCGCTCTTCAGTCAGTGTTTCGACCCTTTTGTTCAGATCTTGAGTCATGTTCTCCTTTATCTCTAGCTGGGATATGATCTCCTCATTCTGCCTAGTAACATCCTCCAACGACTGTTTCACTTCGCAGGCTGAAGACATTTGCTCTTCACCTTGAGAGCTCTCAAGCTTCAGTTTCAGGTCTTGCATATCCCCCATCAGAGCATTCTTCTCATCTGTAGCTTCTCTCACCTTCTCCAGCAGTTCATCCCTCTCCTTGTTGAGCTGTTCCACCTTCTCATTAAGGTCTCGTATATTATTAGCTGCCTGTTCCTTCATGGCTTTGTACTGTACGATAAAATCATTTGTCTTCTCTCCCAATTCTGTCTCAAAACTCTGAAGTATGCCCCTCATATGGTGGCACTCGGCCTGGGCAGAGTCTCGCTCTTTGGTTAAGGCCTCACATTTTGTCCTCAGCTCCTGGTTTAGTTTCTGCTGCTCCTCCTCTGGACTCTGAGAGTTTTGCTCTTTGGCTAGACTGGTCACAGACTCTTCAGCTTCTCTGAGGACACCTTGCTGATCAGGATCTTGGGTCACTGAAGCTTCAGCAGAAGCACTGTCCTTGAGCATCTGCAGCTCATTAATTTTGAACTCCAGTTCTTCTCTTTCTATTTGAAACTCTTCTTTAACCCTCTCCAGCTCTGCCTCGAGCTCACCCTTCACATTACTAAGCAGGGTCATCTCATCCTGTAACATGGTGTTCTGGGCTTGAACATCATCCAGTGTCGCTTTTAGTCTTCCCGTCTCTGTCTCCTCTCCATCACCATGGCTCGAGTCACCCTGACTGCAGCCAGACAGCTCCAGCATTTTGGCGATCCCCGAACCACGGGCAGCTTCTTCATCTTCCTCCTGCACATCCTGCAGGTAGCTATCTGGAAATATAACAGTAATATTTTGATTTAATTGAAACTGAATTTAAAGAAAAAAAAGGAAAACACAATATTAATACTTTGATACCAGAACAGACTTAACTAAAAAGAGCTTTTTTACCTTTGAGTGCAAGCTGCTCAGTTAGCTCCTCTTGGAGCAACAAGAGACGTTCCCTCTCAATCTCGTAGTCCTCTTCTAGAGTCCTCATTTCCTCTTCGTGCTGCAGACTCTTCTGAGCCAGCTCCTCCTTCAAGTTCTCCACCTCTTGCTGGGCCAGTGTCAACTCCTTTTGGTGGTTCTCCTGGATCTCAAGAACCTCCTGAGAATTTCGCTCTTGCATTGTTTGCAGTTCAGCTCGAAGGGTCTCCAGCTGAGCTTCTAAGCAACGTCGGACTTCCTCTGCACTCTCTTTTGCACTAGCAAGATCTGCTTGGCGCTCCCTCTCTCTTTCACTCTCCCGTTCTCTGTCACGCTCCTCTCGCTCTTTTAGTAATTTCTGGAAATGAGACACCTCTTCTTGGTGTTTGCTGGTGCACTCCTCAATGCTGCTCTCTAGGGCTTTGATCTTCTTTTGGTGCTCTCCTATCGCCCGGTCAAACTCACCTTGCAGCGCTGCCAGATCATCCTGCAACAAACAGCATATGTGTTTTAAGAAGATCTGGTTACAATAACAAAATACATTTATTAGACTGCATAAATGTCAAAGTGTGTTCAAATAAACCCGTTTGAGTTTCTCTGAACACAAACCTGAATGTGTAATCAGGCTTACACATCATACAGCGGTGTGAGTGTTATCTTTCACCTTGGCTTGCTGTTTAGTCTTCTCTAGTTCTTTACGAGACACTGCAAGACTTTGCTGAGTTTCCGCCTTTTCCAGCAGCACCACATCCATCCTCTCAGTCAGCTCCTGTTACACACAAATAAACAATTCACGTAACGCAGTATGAAAATGAAGTACTGCATGTTAACAGAAGAAGCTTTTAGCAAACATGCAAACCTGTATCAAAGAGTCATCTGAACTGCTGTTGTTGCTGCTTTTGGATTGCTGTTTCAGGGCTTCAACTTCTTTTTCCAAATCTAAGAAGACAAATAAACAAACTCATGACATAAACTTGTATAGTACTGGCACAACACATACACAGGATGAATGTGTAATGATACCTGTACATCTGCTCTTCATCTTCTGCATGGCAGCTACCTGCTTTTTTGCATACTTGATGAGATCATCTTTAGAGAGCGTGTCCAGCTTAAAATAAGACACAAAGTTAAAAGGAGGCTAAAATATCTTTACCAAAACATCTCTAACAAAACAGAAAAAAATCCAGCTGAAGAGTGTTGATACATATAACTCTTATGTGTAAGTCGTAACAGTATGCAGGACAGTAATGACAAATTAAAGGAACAGAATAGGTTGAATTCTCTGGGAATCAAAGGGGGCTGTCAAGGTTTTCCTATAATTTCTCACAAGCCTGTAGACAGCTGAAGTACAGTACCTTTGACTTGGGTGTGCTTGCTGCTGATGGAGTCGCAGACTCAGCTCCGGTACCACCAGGGTCCTTTTTTTTTAATAAAAGAAAAATATGAAAAAATGTTTTGTTTTTATGATCAACTCCAGATTTATTCCACAAAGGTCGCATAATATTTCCTTTGAATTTTACTTTAATGTCCTTTTTTACCAAAAGTCTACCTCTGGTGGCGTACGTTTACAACATTTTATGATTAATTACGGACTTATTGTCAATTCGGCAAAGAAACTAAGCAGAAGAATTTTTACTGAAACTGTGTAAGCAAAGTTAGTTAAGTATCACCAGGTAACGTCTCGATATTAAGCACATTTAAAATTCATGGTTGTTACAGTAGGACTACTGCAGGTGACTTTTACTGTTACCAGCACAGTTCATCGTGATAATTAACTATGCATTACAACAACAGCTATTAAGAAACAGACGCACATACACACACACACACATATATATACATATATTGCTAACCTCGAGGTACACATCATTACTATCTGTGAGACTAGCTAACGCTAACCCCTCCACATTGATCATTTACCTCCATCCCAGCTTTTCGGACTTTTTACTGCTTCTCAATCGTCTGACAAGCTCAGAGAGATTGCCGGGAACCTGACCGGACAAAGTCGAATCGATTTCCAAAGTATTTTACGATTCGTCACAGATTAAACACGGAAAACATCTCCTCTGTTATGGTTTTGAGTTAACAAGCTAAAGCACACGCTTCCGCATTCGTCAACCAGGTGACGTCGGTATAGTTGACGTCACAACTTTAAACACAGACACTGGCAATCACCAATAATTTAACATTGAAGAAAAAAGTTAACTATCTATTTTCAACGTAAAGACAACAAACGATGTATTATTGATACATTTCTAACTGTTACATTGTTTCCAAGTTGTGATGATTAGTACTTTGAGTCTTATAAATTCATAACAAATAAAAACATGTCAGCAGCTAAACTTTATAACGAACTGCCCCCCATATGCCTTAATAATAATAATAATAATTTACATAAAATGTTTGAAGCATTTAATTCAAATTAAATTTAGTTTTAAAAAAAAAGAAAAGAAAAAAGAGCATAACAGTAGTATAAGTTATACTGATCCTGGCTGATCATTGAACATTTGCTATGTTCATATTTAATTTATTTATATCTAATTACATTATTTACCAACTGGAACTTGAGTTTCTGCATCTCACTTTCACCAGCTCAGCACATCTGTCTTTTAAATCAGAGCCTTTTGCATTCTCTGAGTTGTGCACAGACTGAATTCCTGTTCACTTTCATCTGTTAGATACAGCTCGGATTTTTAAAATGTGGAAAAGGCAAAAACTGAAAATAATTTAGGTAATAACTTAATTACATACTGATTATGGTAAATAGTTTTAAATGGCTACATAGATGTGATGTCTATCTGGGTATGTTATATGGCAGCAAAACCTGTAATTAACTGCTGGCCTGATGTCTGAGAGGAGAAATAGTAAGTAGCTGCCTGCAGCAGGGCTTTCAGCATTTAATAAATTATTAACAGAATTTAGTATTATGGTCAAGAAAGATTTTATTCCACTGTAAAAGTAAAATACAACTGCTGTTTATTATACACATAGGCTATATCAAAGCCACTCGATCTAGCCGTAGAGTGAACAGATACCAACAAACTACATGAGGCAAAGTGTATGTTTGCATGGGACAAGGCAGGATGGGGTAGAATCAAATTTTGATATATAACTTAAGAGATTAAGACAAGGAAACTATGCAGGTCATAAGTTTGGGATTTGGAAAATACAGGGATATTCTGTTATATTTATTTAAATCAAATGGTTCAGACTTTTATTGATGGGCTTTCTGCCATCCTGTATTTGGCTTTTGTATTGCAACATCTGTTTAAACAGTTTACAGTTATTTCATCTGCTGTTCTCTCTGTTAATCATCTTTGGGTTTCACGGACCATCCATAGATTTGCAAATCTCTTTTTTAGACACATTTTTGTTTTTACTGAAATCATTTGTTCTGCAGTCCCACTAAAGAGGAATACCTTATGAACCTATAGAAAACACATGCCAGTAAGACAAATTTAAAAAACAAAAACAAAAAGCATGACTGCATAAGAAATATTCAGGAAGAAATAGGCAATATAGATTGTGGAGTCAAAGGCTATAGGAGTTGGATGCATACTATAGCTGAGATCCTAAAAAGGAGAGACTTTTTTTTACTGTGTGTGCAAGCCATAAAATCATCCCAAAGCTGTCTGATACTACAATGATATTTTTGGGACTGCTATAGAGAGGTTGGGGGGTATCTGCCCTCCTGCTGACATCAGGGCTGTCATAAACCCAGTGGAGAGCCTAGCTCTGTTTCAGTATTCCAATCACGCGAGGTCCAGTTTTATCTGTTGAATATGGAGAGCGTCTGTTTTGACACAAGTGATAGAAGCACTGACGGAAGCAACTTAGCAAGATGCCTCTCATCCTGACAAGGCTGAGATGCTCCGAGCAGGGGGGTGCAGAGACTCTGCCGACTCCCTGTCTCATCTGGAAGAGACCCATCTCTACCTTCCACCCCGCCTGGGTCAAACACATCCATCCATCACAGCAACTCCCTTGTTTTCTCCCAGGGCATGGAGCAGTATTTTGCTGCCATTTTTCTCCCCCCACTCGTGGCCGTCAGTCAGGGATGGCTTTGCCGTAATATAACTGACACTGGCTGGCGTTCCGGGAGTAATGAATAGCCTGACTGGGTCTATCAAGAGGAGCAACAGACGCTCCTTCATGCTTCTGCTTTTCTTTATTTCTATCTCTCTCTCCTGTAAGTTCTGCTCCCACATTTCAAACTAAACTAACAAGTGAGACACATTCACCTTTTCTTGCTGCTCTCCCTCACCTCATCTCTTTGTATAAGAAGAGGGAGCCACAGGAAGTGTGCTCCTCTTATGCTTTATACGCATTCATGATTTGCATTTGTGACTTTATAAACATAGTAAATATGAAAATCAGATGTTTTTTGTCATTAAAAAGCATATACACATGCATCTCTACAATTTAACTTTAAATATTTATGTCATGTCAAATTTACCTTTAGAAATTTTGTGCTGCATTTACACTACTAAAAGTTGTGACTAATAGCTGGTAAGGACAACAGCCATTCATCATCACCTTAAGCTATGTTGATGTGTCTAACTTGTTACTGGGGAAGTAAATTTATTGTTCAGTATTAGTTCAGTACAAAACAAAATCACAACCACTAATCAGCAACAGCTGTCACATAATAAATGTTTCTGCTGATGAGTGTTTAATGAGCGAGTAACCTATGAATGAGAAGACTTTTGAAGCTATTTTCTGTCCTCACCAGCTAGTTGACAGTAGCAAATAAAACGATTGTTAGAGCATAGCATCAGCTAAAGATAACTAACTAACTACAATAGGCCTAGGCTGCTGACACGGGGTGTTTCTTCTTCACTCACCTCTTTTTCACTCTCTGTGTGCACACTACTCGGCATATTCATCTCTGACTGTCTTGCACTCTTCTGTCCTGTTTCCATCCCCTCACCCCCGAACTGGCCACTGCAGATGGCTGCCCGTCCCCAAACCTTGTTCTGCTGGAGGTTTCTTCCTATTAAAAGGGAGTTTTTCCTTCCCACTGTCACCATGTGCTTGCTCATAGGTGGTCGTTTGATTGTTGGGGTTTTCTCACTATTATAATGAGTTATTTACCTTAAAATAGGGGAGGCAGGGAGCCACAGGAAGTGTGCTCCTCTTATGCATCACACGCATACATGATTTGCATTTGTGACTTTATAAATATAGTGAATATAAAAATCAGTTGTTTTTTGTCATTAAAAAGCATATACACATGCTGTCACAGGTATTTACCTTAAAATATAAGTGCCTTGAGGTGACAGTTGTTGTGATTTGGTTCTTCATAAATAAAAATGAATTGAACTTAATAAAATAAAATAGTAAAGTTGTAGGAAACCTGCAAGAAAACTATAATAATAAGGTTAAAGACACACAGCTCAGTCAAGCTTAGTGATCCAGCAGAGTTTGGCGATCATCCTCAGTGTGTTTGTCGCTACATTAAGCAAGTCTTTGACAGTGTAATGGATTTCTTAAATCAGTGATGTGTAAGGTACCAACTCTGATTTAAACAATATGGAAATCAGTGTAGCTGTAGTGAAGCTGTAGCAGAGCTGAAGGGGATATAAAATAATTGGCATCCGCGCCCCATTTCTGTCTTCGCTTGCTCCCCCAATCTATTCCACTCGACCTCCTACCCAATCATTGAAAGGTGACTTTGGGGGTGGCGAGGTGGAGTGCTTATGTCACTGACCCCTACAGTGTGATTGAAGCCTCCCAGTGGGTACCCTGCAGAAGCCAAGGCAGTTGTTGATTAGCTCCTGAGTAAGCAACAACTTCACTGAAGACAATGGCATTTTGATTTAGGCTTAAACAAGCACAACTCACTGCTAATAAAGACTGAATGAACAATTCAGAATACAAGATTTCTACTCATCACTAACTATGTACAAAATTCTTTACACACTCTTTAGATCATCATCTGTCATCTTTACTCACCACAGCAGTAGCGAATTCATTCAGTTATTTTTTGCTAATCTCTCTTGTAACAAAGTATTTGCATTTGTTTGAATGAGTCCTTGAGATAAGATTGTTACCTTTACTCAGTATTTATACTGGTCTCCCCCTTATTTTCTTCATTGTTTCCTGCATTTGTTTCCCTCTTGACATTTTACCTTTGCAGACTGGCAGCACCATTAATAGGGTTGGCATTTTAACATAGAGCTTTGACATTTTAATGTATTAATGTGGGAACTGAACCTCTCAGATTGTTCTTTTCACCACAGACCCCGAGAGCGCAGGTTCTCTAATAAATGACCAAAGCGTGAACACCTGAGAGATGACAGAATATGTCATTATATCCTGAGCTGCTGTTAATAACTCTGGCTCTTTATGTAACAGGTTAATAGTCAAATCAGTGTGTCAGAATTCCCAGATGAGGCAATTTGTCAGTGGCTGTATTTCATTATTCAAGTAGAGATGAGAGATAGGTAGTCTTTTTGTGTAGTCTTTTAGTTTCTAATTAAATTTAAACTGTTTATATATGGTGCCACGTTGCAACAACAGTTGCCTCAAGATGTTTCGTAGGTACACTGAGAATGTACAATAATGAAAAGACAACTCCAGCAGTTAGGCAAGCACTTGGCAGCAGTGGAGAGAAGAAACTTCCTTTTCACAGGAAGGAAACACCGGCATAATCAGGTTCAGGGAGCAGTAGTCATCTGCCGTGACTTAAAATGCCGATATTAAGGAAGGGTAATGATAACCATTTTTGCCATCTTAGTTTAGCATACTGAATGTTCATCATCATAAATGGCTCAGTAGAGCTCAAGGTGTTGTAAATCACATCAGTTCTGTGCACCTATAATGATAAATCAAGGCACCAGACAAAGACAGCATTATGAAACATCTGGAGCTTTGGAGACCTAAACCTCGATATCAAACCATGCATCAGTAGTTACAACGCAAATAATAATCCATGTCAATGCTACTGGGCTGCACAGTGGCACGGAGGTTAGGACTGTTGCTGCACAGCAAGAAGGTCCTGAGTTCAATTCCACCATAAGGCCGGGGTCTTTCTGTGTGAAGTTTGCATGTTCTCCCCGTGTTTGCGTGGGTTCTCTCCGGGTACTCCGGCTTCCTCCCACA